CAGATCACTGTAGCCCTTTCCTTTGAAAGATGAGATAAAAAAGGCAGTGCTTTCTACCCCTCAGGATGAACTTGTAATATAAGCCTGATTTTCAGGATAAGCACATTGGGGGTTACTTACTAAAACTGGAGAGTGCAAAATCTGGTGCAGCTCTGCATAAAAACCAACCAGCTTTATTGTCAAAGCTTCATTGAACAAGCTGAAGTTATAAGGTGATTGGCTACCATGCACAGCTACACCAGATTCTGAGTGCACCAGTTTTAATAAATCAACCCCACTGTGACAACTTCTAGGAAAAACTCCATGAATCCCATACCAAATGTAAAGTGCAAAAGTGGAAACGTTTCCTATAGCGAAAGATTTCCTACCTGGAGTAAAGTAGTGAAACTGCAATTTGGCCTATAGGCAATTAAACATTCCCACTATCAAGAACAAAAAAAATCATGGGTAATGCTGTTCCAATGTTTCATGGTTAAAATTAAATCAAATCGCAAGTGGTTTACATAGACCAGACAATGCCTGATCCATCTCTAGCTCCATATCTTTCCTGACTAAGTGAAAGAGCTCCTTGCATGACAGTGTGTTTAAGATGATAACATATAGAAAACCCATCTACAAAATATAACTTATAACCAACTACTGCTGTCTGATCCCAGTGGGGATACCCCAAACCTCATCTCTCCCTTCAGCAGGGGAATACAAAAACATCCTTCCATCCACAACTCTAGCCAAATGAACTCTCCCTTACTAGCTACAATGGATATTTTTATTCCTGAGTATCAGACAAATGGATGCAAATTGAACAATTTAGGCATCTGTCAAGCAATGCAAAACTTTCTAGTATATATCAGAATTTAATCTTTGAGGTTTGCCTTGCATTCCCTTGTATCTTACCATGTAAGAATGTCTGCTGCTAATGATCTAAAATAAAGGCTCAGAGAAATAGGCACTGGTGATATTGAAACTGTTGTTTTTCACCTTGAAAACTAGATTTCCAAAATTATTTACCAATTCATTATTATCATTTTTTTTTTTTATTATTATTATTAATAATAATAATACATTTTTAAAATGACAAATTAGCATTAACAATGAAATATTAAATTAATGACAAATTATTGAGGCATCTTTAAACTTTTAATTTATTAATTACTATACTTTTCTACATCAATAAATGTTCCAACATATTTCATTTGTAAATAAAATTCAAAGATGTGTTGGGTAGCTTTGTAACATGTTACTCTTTTTTTCTATTAAATTAAACAAAAAAAAATTAAACAATGCAACTTAAACACATTTTGTACCCAACATATCTGTAACAGTTTAATAGTTTTTCATATTTTTGGAACTTCCACATTGATTGTTATTTCCAGTAAAACTGCAGTTATTTGGCTGTCGAATTCTTGCAAAATCCTATGTTTTCTCAATAAAGAACAATTATGTAAAAGATCAGCAGCTATACAAAAAAAGGACCCTGATGAATGTGCTTTAAAAAATGCGAGTGCTAACTAAATTCCACATTGTTTGTGCTTGCAAACCCCAGAGGCACTGCAGATTATTTAACCTCAACATTTTTAACCTCACTGTGTCAGCAATGCTTGGGCCAAAATGAGGTACGTCCAGCAAACGATGAGGTGATCCAGCTCCAAGAAGCAAGTCACGTATGTTTGCCAAGGGGAACGTTGATTTGTTTCCAAGTGTGAAGACACAGATTTCTCCTCCAAATGTCAAGTCTGCAATGTATCTCTCCATGGAGTGCAACAAGATAACAATTACTTTTCTATTTTGTGGAAAAACAGAATGAATTAAATAGGATGTCAAACCTTAAAGTATCTCATTTTGCTTCTAGCACTATGGAAATATTTTTCATGAAGCTTACCACTAGCAACAAACCATAATGGTTGTGATGATGCATATGCTGTTTTGTAATCTCAGAGTATACAAAATCAAGCTACATATTCTACCATGATGAACTGAGACTCACGTAACCCACCTGTTCCTCATGGGAGGAGATGCACTGAGACTAGCACACACAGCCTGTGCCTCATATGAGGAGACAATAACTGTTAATTTGCATATTTCGGGATAGTGCTCACAGACCTAGCATTATAAGTAAGCCGCAAAGGGAACCTGAATTTATTGGGACATTAGATCTGTATTCTTCATTGTCACCATTCTATAAAACTCATAAAAGCCTGTTCCATGTTTTGGATAACCAATAAGGGGAAAAATTGGCTGAGCTCAATATGACCTTCTTCTAATATGATATTCTTGTGTTTTTTTACTCAGGTATTTGGCCAACCTTAATTGATAAAACTAAATGGGTATATTGAAGCAAAACATTTGAGTCACGTGGACTAATAATTTCTTAAACAGAATTTATGTAAAAAAGGACAGAAAAATAAAAAAATATATATTTATTAACTTTTCAGTGTAAACAATTGATATATACATATTGATTGGAAAATGTTGAAAGCATATCTCCACGTTATTTCAAACTCATTTTTTATAAACTATCTTCTAATTTATGAATAGTGAATGCTTCAAGCCAAAGTCCAGGAAGATATTACTACCATTTAATGATATAGTGATATCTATAACTAAAAGTGAAACTAAGAGTGAAACTTTTTTTTTAGTTCTGGATAGAGTGGAGAGGGATTAGAATACTTGTCAGTGTTGCTATCTGTGCTCCCGTTAAGGAGATTCACCTTCTCTATTTGTCATGTTTACCAATATCACTGAAAGTGAAAGTAAAAGAAAATTCCACATTTTGGGATGCCCACAGGCACCTTTCTCTCCTCTCTCAAACATGCGCTGGTTACCCCCATAATTAAAAAACCCTCGCTGGACCCCACCTGTTTGAATAATTTAAGACCCATCTCTCTGCTCCCGTTTGCCTCCAAGCTTCTCAAGTGCCTTGTTCATAACCAAATGAATTGCTACCGCTCAACGATTACAACCTTCTCGATCCTCTACAGTCAGGCTTCCGCCCACAACATTCCACTGAAACTGCCCTACTAAAACTCACTAATGACCTACTAACTGCTAAAACCATTGACCATTACTCCATACTCATATTCCTAGACCTTTCCGCTGCCTTTGACACAGTCAACCATGTGATCCTCCTCAGTAAACTCTACTCCATTGGCCTACTTGACTCTGCTCTCTCCTGGTTCTCCTCTTACCTTTCTCAGAGCACTTTCACCATCACATAGAACAACAACTCCTCCACTCCTCTTCCTCTTTTCGTTGGGGTAACCCAAGGCTCTATCCTTTGGGCCTTCCTTTTCTCTCTCTACAGCTCCTCCCTGGACCAACTGATAACCTCCCATGGCTTCCAATATCACCTATATGCTGATGACACCCAAATCTATCTCCACTCCCCAGCTCACCCCCCTCAATCTCCTCATGTATCACAAATCTACTAAGCGACATATCAGTATGGATGTCACGCCATTCCCCCAAACTCTATCTTTCCAAAACCGAGCTTGTAATATTTCCTCCTCCCCAATCCCCCACTCATGACTTTACCATTAAGATCAACAGCACAACCATTGTTTCTTCCCCTCATCCCAGGGTGCTCGGTGTAATCCAAGACTCTGACCTCTTCTTCAGGCCCCACATCCAATTACTAGCTAAATCCTGTCACCTCAACCTCTGCAACATTTCCAAAATCTACCCCTTTCTAACCAATGACACCACAAAACAACGTATCCACACCTTGGTTATATCCTGCCTTGATTACTGCAACTCCCCTCCTCATTGGTCTACCGTTACACAGGTTATCCCTCCTTCAGTCTAGTATGAATGCTGCTGCTAGACCCGTACACCTTACCAACTGATCAGCGACTGCTGCCCCTCTCTGCCAATCCCTTCATTGGCTTCCACTAACCCAACATAAAAAATTCAAAATACTAACCACAACATACAAAGCCATCCACAACACTGCCTCTAGCTACATCACCAACCTCATCCATAGATATTGTCCAAATCGCCCACTCTGCTCCTCACAAGACATCTTGATTTATAGCTCCCTCGTCACCACCTCCCATGCTCGTCTGCAGGACTTCTCCAGAGCCTCTCCCATCCTCTGGAACTCCCTACCGAGGTATGTCTGGTCTGGCCCCACCCTGTCTGCCTTTAGGCAGTACTACCTCCCCCTTCTTTAGATTGTAAGCTCCACAAGCAGGGCCCTCCTATTCCTTCTGTACTGAAATGTATTGTAATTGTACTGTCCCCTTTATATTGTAAAGCGCTGAGCAAGCTGTTGGTGCTATATAAATCCTGTATAATAATAATAATAATAATAGAGAGGGAATCTTCCAGTGGGTTACAATTTTGGTGACCTGGGATCCCCAGAGAACTTCCTTAATTTGAAGGGCTTTCCTTTCACTGTAAAATCAGTCTGTTTATGCAGTAAAGCATGCTTGTTATACTCACTGTGGAACTGAAGGGGTTAATCCTCTGCATTGTGTAAAAACACTGTTTGATCCTGAGTTCTCTGATCCTCCTCTTCTTCCAGTGTCTCCCTCTTATTTCCTGATTAGAAATATTGTGTGGAGTCACTCTGCAAATGCTCAGCTTGGTGTGTATTGCTAGAGAGGTTTTTATTTTTTTCTTGGGAGGGTGCATGTGATCAGCACAATGCCAACCAGCACTGTCCACACAGAGGTCAGGGGTTCTGCATCCTCCTAGAGCAAAATGAAAACTCTTTCTACAAGCTTTAACCAGTGCTCTGCTGAACACTGATAGAAGTCACAAGACTGCTATATATTGCTGATGAGAAAAGATATTTAGCAAAAAATAATTTTTTCTCCCACCAGGGTTCATCCTTGCAATTTTTACTTAGATGTAAATATTGCAAGGACGAACCATGGTGATGAGAAAACTCTCCACATACACAGCAGCACATATATGGTCCAGCTTTTACACTTACACTTTAATCCACTTCTTCTTCTGAAGTATTTCTACTCCTGGTGTAGCTTATGGTGTTACTAAACCCAGGATCCTGCATTCACTATATCTGGTGTCCCACAGTACACAGAACATGGAAATCAATTATTTTAGTAAATATAAACTGCTAAATACCTTTTCTCATCAGCAGTTAGAGCAGTCTTGTGACTTCAGCAGAGCACTGGTTAACGCTTGTAGGAGGAGTTTTCTTTCTGCTCTAGGAGGATGTGAAACCCCTGAACTCTGTCTAGACAGTGCTGATTGGCCCTGTGCTGATCACATGCACTCTCCCAAGAAAAAAAAAAATCTCTCTAGCAATCCACATTAAACTGAGCATGTGCATGTGATCACGGGTTCAGTCTGTCTTATCAGGTGGAGGGGGCAGAATAAACAGGATCAAACTGCCTTTTTACACAATGAGGAGGACTAACCCCTTAGGTTCCACAGTGAGTATAACAAGCATGCTTTACTGCATATACAGATTGACTTTACTGTTTTGGGTTTAGTAACACTTTAATCTTAAAGTCCAAATCTGGGGGAAAAAAAAGAGTTTATATTTACTAAAATAATTGTATTTCCATGTTCCATGTAGTGTGTACTGTGGGAGACCAGAGAGAGTGAATGTAGGGTTCTGGGTTTAGTAACACTTTAAACTAGCCTTTTAATCTACTCAACTTTCTGTAGACATTTTTTGCATCTTTAATTCAGTAAGCATACCCCTTTTTACACCACATTTTGTGTAACTGCCTTTGCTTCTCTAAAGACGCTGTATAACCCGAGACAATATTTATGCAAAGCAAAATACAGCAGAACTTGCTTACTTCTTTGGAGGTCAGAGCCCTGGCTATGCTGTTTGCCAGGAGTTCCTGGATCACAAAGCTAGCTGACTTTTCAACTATGTAATTAGTAGTATGCCTGCAGTTAAGCTTTAATGACATTACTCAACGCTGAATTCAGTATATTCAAAGTACATAAATAAACCGTGATATCCTCCGTATGACATTTTTTGTTAGTGTTGTAATGAATTCCTATTGTGTTTGACAAGGCCCTCTAGCTATATTTTGTTCCATAGCATATAACTACAATTAATACATTTGCTCTGAATCACATGAAACACAATCTGCACCATTGTATTATTAGAAAAGGTGTGTTTACATGAAATAACTTTAAACAAAATGATATTTAAATGTTATCAATAAACCGATTGGATGGGTACCAGAGTATCACTTGGAAGTCCTAGATGGTTTCAATACATTTTGATGGAATTTTCCTTTTTCAACTCAAACCATCTGAGCAAACCTTCCAGGTGAAATACTCATAATATTTCATGTTTACTCTTTTGCTAAATCATCATATATTGTATATGCACTTAATTATATTATAATTTATCATTTTTAAAATTATAATTTTGTCAGGTAAGCACAAGATGCATTCTGATTGGCTGCAAAGGGTAGTAGTGGTACTGGTATTTTATTGGAGAGCAAGAAATGTTGTGCCAAGGCTCAGCCAACAGTTTGTGTACCAAGCTCTTTGGGCTGCCAAATGTTTGTTAGGGTTGGAGAAGTTTGACATGAAGAACCACAGTCAAACAAGAGGAAATAATAAGCAGACACACAAACTTCTGCTCCAGTGAATATTTACCTTGTGTCTTACCTCGCTTAAACAGACCTCAGAAAAAGTCTCGCAACTGAAAAATCATCCCATCAGCAAAGTCACACCCTCTTGTCCTTAATTTCATGAGTGCTCAGCAAGCTAGTTAGGTCTTGCATGGAAGAAATATTTTAATTGAGTTGGGAAGCAGACTAAACACAATTAAATCACAATTAAAGAGAAAAGTTCCAAAATTACCATTTAGTAATTTAAGTACTATAAGGAGATAAAAATTAGTTACAAGCCAGATATTCATTAATGTCAAATCTGCAGCACCAAGTTCCCCCGCTCCATGCTTCAGCATTAGAAGTGGTAATGGAAACGTCTAGAGTATTTTCAGACGTTTCGAGTTACTATTTCAGCATTTACCCTGAAGAAATATTTGACATGACTTTCAACTATTTCATCTTTGTGCTGTGCTTTATAGGTGTGGTATGCATTTTACATACATTTTTCATGTCTTACCTTTAATCTCTATGGAGCATTGGACTTTTTCGAATGCACTGCACATGGCACATACACCGATCAGCCATAACTTTATGACTTTGAGTAGGTCTGCCTTTTGCCACTGAAACAGCCTCTTTTTCTGCCAAAACAGCCCCAACCTGTCAAGGCATGGATGTCACTAGACCTCTGAAGGTATGCTGTGGTATCTGGCACCAAGCCATCAGTAGCAGATCTTTTAAGTCCTCTGAGTTGTGAGGTGGGGCCTCCTTGGATCAGACTTGTTTTTACAGCACATCCTACAGATGCTCACTACCTCCAACTCATTGTTGTGTTCCTCAAACCATTCTGGAACCATTTTTTGCAGTGTGGCAGGAACCATTACCCTGCAGAAAGAGGCCACTGGCATCAGGGGATAACGTTTTCATGAAGGGGTGTACTTGGTGAACAGCAATGTTTAGGTAGGTGGTACATGTCAAGTAACATCCACATGATGTTAACACAACATCCAGATGGCAGTAGGCCAAGGCTTCCCAGCAGGACTTTGCCCAAAGCATCACACTGCCTCCACCGGCTTGCCTTTTTCCCATACTGCAACCTGGTGCCATCTCTTCCCCAGATAAGTGACGCACATGCACCCATTCACATGATGTAAAAGACCAAGCCAGATTCTTCCATTGCTCTGTGGTCCAGTTCTGATGCTCATGGGCCTATTATAGGAGCTTTTGGCTGTGGACACTGGTCAACATGGACACCCCATATGCTACAAGATGTGATGGCCATTTTTTCTACTTTCAACAAATCAACTTCAGGGATAACATATTTACTTGCTGACTAATAAATTCCAACAACTTTCAAATGCCATTGTAATAAGATATTCAATGTTCTTCATTCCACCTGTCAGTGGTCATAAAGTTCTGGCTAATCGTTGTATATGAATATACCCTAACTCTTTAAAACTCTATGGGAGGAATCTTGGGTTTCTGGGTTTGCACATCCACAGTTGCCATTCCCACTTAACCTGCTGGGTATTCTTTTTCTTTTATATAATAAAAAAATTCTCAAGAGGATCTAGAATGTGCAAAGGGGGCTGTAGCACCCAAAACCCTCAGGTTGAGAGCAACAGAATCAGGGATTATGGTAGTAAGATTATTGTAGTAAGGCTCAACCCACCATGCTAGTTATAGCTAAAAATGATTTTTGCATGAAATGGCCCTTAAAGTGGAACTTTTAAATACATCTTGAATATATGAACTGTTTTCAGTCCAAACAAGTTTGTAATTTTGTCCAGCCCTCCTTGTGATTATCTGATAAACTAAGTAGAAAAGTGAGCAACTATTGCAGAGAAGCACTACAGTTTGATGGAGCATCACTGCTATGATGAGGTCATCCATTATCTCTCCCTCCTGTAAGTAAACGTCCAGCGTTGGACTAGCAAAAATATGCAATGCAGTAAAGATCGACTGACTTATAATGTTGCCCCTCCTTTTTCCACTTACAGTGTACAGGGGAATATGAAAAGCTGATACTTCTGCTAGCAGTATTTTAAGTAAATTGTAATACTGTTTGAAACACTTGAAGACATTTGGTGTGTAAGATGCTCTATCTGGCCCAATTCCTAGCCAAGTCCTGATTTGTGTATCAGGAGCGTTGACTGGGGATCCTGTAACAAATACTGTATTTTAATTAGTCCTTTTATGTGCAGACAATGCAAGTTTTCAGCAATCTCACAAGTTAAAAACATTTTATTTCTAAATTAACACTGTCCCTATGCAAATCTTTATCTGTCCCCCGCTTAACCACTTGCCTACCGGGCACTTTTACCCCCTTCCTGCCCAGGCCAATTTTCAGCTTTCAGGCCTGTTGCACTTTGAATGACAATTGCGCGGTCATGCAACACTGTACCCATATGAAAATGTTATCATTTTTTTGAGACAGATAGAGCTTCCTTTTGGTGGTATTTAATCACCTCTGGGTTTTTTATTTTTTTGCTAAACAAACCAAAAACAACTGAAAATAAAAAAAAAAAAAGATTTTCTTAGTTTTTGTGATAACATTTTGTAAATAGGTGATTTTTCTCCTTCACTGATGTGCGCTAATGATGCTGCAGTGATGGGCACTGATAGGCTGCACTGATGGGCACTGATAGGTGGCACTGATGGACACTGATGAGGAGGCACTGGTAGGTGGCACTGATGGGCATTGACAGGCATCACTGATGGACACTGGAAGGCAGCACTCATATATGGCACTTCTAAGTGGCACTGTTATGTGGCACTGACTGGCACTATTAGGCAGCACTGATAGGCAGAACTGACTGGCAATAATAGGTGGCACTGATTGGCAGCCCTGATAGGTGACACTGACTGGCATTGATAGGTGGCACTGACTGGCAGCTCAGATAGGCACTGATACGTGGCATTGATGTGCACTGGAAGGCACTGATATGTGACACTGATGTGGCACTGATGGGCACTGGCAGGTGACATTGATGAGCACTGACAGCTGGCATTGATGTACACTGACAAATGGCACTGCTGGGGCTACACTGAGCATCAGGGCACACTGATGATCAGTGCCCTGATGATCAGTGTAGATGTCCGCTCTGAGGAATGCCGATTACCGGCTCTCCTCTCCTCTCAAGCTGTCAGAATGACAGCTTGTGAGGAGAGAAATGCCGATAACCATTTCCCTATTTACATGTGGTCAGCTGTTATTGGACACAGCTGATCACATGACCAAGCCGATGTCTTCTGCTCTTTCAATTGATCGTTGATCTGCTGTGTTTGAGGGACACAACGCACCACCGATCGCAGCGCTGCACGCTCCCGGAGCTGCGCACGCATGGTTAGAGTGGGGGGATGTCATATGACATCCTCCCAGAATGAGAGAACCTCCATGCGCCCATCATTACCTTATATGGCGGGCAGGAGGCGGTAAATCACTACTGGGTGTTTTATTTTTTTGCACTATAAACAAAAAAAGAGCAATAAATTTGAAAAAAAAAAAGTTTTTCTTTCTTTCTATTATAAAATTTTGCAAACAGGTAATTTTTCTCCTGCACTGATGTGCGTTGATGAGGCTGCACTGATAGGCAGCACTGATGGGCACTGATAGGCAACACTGATGGTCACTGATGAGGTGCAATGGATAGGCAGCACTGATGGGCACTGATAGGCTGCACTGATGATGTGGCACTGATGAGGCGGCACTGGTGGACATTGATGAAGAGGCACTGATGGTGCTGTACTGATATGCAGCAATGATGGGCACTGATAGGCGTCACTGATGGGCACTGATAGGCATCACTGACTGACAGCATTGACTGGCAGCACTGACTGACGGCGCTGACTGGCAGCACTGGTGGGCGTAACTGCTGGGCAGCAATGATGGGTGGCACTGATGGGGGCACTGAAGATGGAAGTGCTGGACACTGATGGGTGGCACTGCTGGGTACTGGGGCAAGTTGTACATGCTGGGGTCCTGCAGCCTCATAGGACAGTCATAGAAGGAGGAAAACTCCTCCTACAATCTTTAACCAGTGCTCTGCTGGACACTGATAGAAGTCACAAGACTGCTATATACTGCTGTAGGGTGCATGTGATCAGCACAGGGCCAATCAGCACTGTCCAGACAGAGGGTCAAGGGTTATGCAAATTTATAGGTCAGTGAAAAGAGAATTAAAACCCCTCCTGCAAGCTTTAAAGAGTGCTCAGCTGGATACTGATAGAAGTCACAAGACTGCTATACACTGCTGATGATAAAAGGTATTTAGCAGTTTGTATTTACTAAAATAATTGCATTCCCATGTTCTGTGTACTGTGGGAGACCAGAAATAGTGAATGCAGGGTCTCAAAATAAAATTGAAAATTGTCAAACTAGAGTGAAGCGTATTTTTAATTTTTATGGCCTTTGCTTTGCAAAAATATTTTTGCAAGATTTATTGTCAAAAGAAATCCTTGTTTGTTCCAAAAGCTAAATCAGTTTTCTATTTTGGTATTAAAAGTAATGAGAAAATAATTGCAAAATTAATAGATCCATATCAGAAATATAAAAGTTGCTTTAGTCCAAGAAAAATATTCAGGTAGGGGAGATCTAGTGGTTAAAGTTGACTTTTTATACATTAGCCTGGAAATCAGTTTAAATAAGACTATAAAAAAAGTTGAAAACGAAAAAAGAAAAAAATCTGCAGCCTAGCAGATCAGCAGCACAAACAGCAATTCAAACGTTGAAGGACTGTGTGTTTTATACATATATCAGTTGTGTGGGCTTAAAGGTGATTTAAACATATCCATGTTGTCTTGTGGTGTTGAAAAATAGTAGGACTGAAGAATGAAATTTAAATCTGCTCACTTAGTTTGTACACTCCCACAAACTCGGCTAGACGCCCAAGCCAAAAAAAAGTAAAAAAAAAAAAGTGGGTAACTTTATTTCTGCAATTCAATGTCTGACCACAACTTTCAACCCATAGAACTGAGCTCACCTCATAAAACTTCCCAGTGCAAGGACATGGAAAAAACGAACAGTAAATGTCATGTAAAGAATCTCATGTAATGCCTTTTAATACCAACTAACACAATAAATAATTGTATGTGTCAAACTTGCTTTTTAATATTGCTGAAATATAGCACTCAGGATATTTGTTATGTTCATTAAAAGAAAAATTACAGCCATTCCAGCTTAACATATTATGTTTGCCTTTCCAGATTGTATTAATATAGAATTAAGTCATGGAACAACACGAGATGTAGTCTTCAGTTTGTTCCTGAAAGTACACATGGAATGAGTCCAATCATAAACCAAATTCATAATCACATACTCTGTCTACACAGGCAGACACTTTCTAAGAGGATACTGTAAGAACAATCTTCAACAAACTCTTATCTATAAATATTCCAAAAAAAGAAGAAAAAAAGAAAAGTCACACTTTCACCCTTGAAAGTTAAATACCATAAACCTTTTCTGAAATACCTCTAAACCCCAAACATCCTAATAATAATCCATGCTGCAAATAATGTCCGAAAAAAATATATTAATAGTAATGTCCAACATCTAATAAATCTTCAAATATAAAGTATCTGATTCAATTCACCAATCCAGATCCAATCCAGAATACCTAAAAAAAATGAAACTAAATATAGTGTATTACCTTTATACATCTCCAAATGTATTTAAATCAGTGATACGTGATTCATGCATATAATACAATATTTTCAGTGGAAAAAATAAAAAAAAATAAAAATCCTATATAAATAAATTAAATTAAAAAATTCCACACAGCACTCTGTGAGTTCAACACATCAAAAAGTGAATAACAACACTTCAAAATAAAGTGAACACCCCGAGACACCTCACACTAGTGAGATTGTAATATCCTCTTGAAATCACAGCAAACCTAACACTAAGTGAATAGTGTATACATGTCCACTAGCAACACAAGTGAAGTAAACATTCAGTGGTGCCGCACAATAGTGGGATTCAAGGCAATTACCCTCTTGCAGCAAAAACCAGCACTTCAGGGTTTCTAATGTCAGCTTCCACCCTGCGGGTATGCCTTTTTAATTTCCCCAATTCCTCATGAGGGTAAAGAAGAGGACCATCGTGCAGTATAAAGGTAACCAAAAAATTTTAATAATATCTTACATTATAGATCAGAAAATCCGTCCATCTGTCCCAGCAGTTCTAACACTGAACCTCCAATAACCAAAATGGCCATGCCGCTACTTCCGGTTTAGCGTCTGACGTCACATCCCTGATGCGTTTCGTCACTTCCGACTTCTTCTCGAGGGATACTGTAAGAACATATGGATTTTTCCTTCATAATTATGTTCTATAAAAGGAAGGCTCTATTCACCAAGCTATGGGGTGCATTTACTAAAGGCAAATAGACTGTGCACTTTGCAATTGCAGTTGCATTCATTTTCCCCAGAGCTTAGTAACCCCTGGTTCACACTGATGTGAATTGTCATGCGATTTGACCATTTAAATTGCATGACAAATTGCATGCAATGATTGGCAATGGAACTGTTCTAATCAGTGCGACTTCGTCGGAGTCACACCGATTAGAAAACTAGTTCCTGCACTACTTTTCCCGATTTGGGGTTGTGACTTGCAAAGACATCTGTGCATGGAGTCGCACAGATGTCTATGAAGTCGGATCTGAAGTCGCACTTCAATCCGACTTTGAAATTGTACAACATCTAGTGAAGTCGCACGATTTCAAAGTCTGATTCAGTGTGAACCAGAGCTAAATGTGGTAAAGCTCTGCTAATTTCCATCATCCAATAATATACAATAATTTATTTTACCATGCACCTGATTGGGTATTCCTTACATAGTGAAGCTTTACAACATTTACATTTACTAAAGAAAATGCATGCAACTGAACCTGCAAAGTGCACAGTCTATTTGCCTTAGTAAATCAACTCCTATAGCTATATTTAATCATGAATTGTTATTTTATCTTGAGATATTTTATTTTTACTACCACACCAAAAGGCTCAATTTTCTGATCTTTTTAATGGATACCTCGATGAAACTCAAGTAGTCTCTAGCTTCTAGCTAGCCATAACTTCTAGCTAAAATATCAACCAAAAAAAATAATATGTGTGTGGCGTTGCCTTTATATAAAATTGACAACAAATAATGCACCATATTGAAAATATTGCATGCTTTGGAAAATTCAAGCAAGCATAAACCCAATCACTAAAATATCACATAAGTTTTAATATAATTTAAAAAGTAATTGAATATTTAAATATGAAGCGTTTTTTTAAATACTTGATGATCCTGCCATAAAAGTCCTTGTTTGGGCACTTTCTGTTATGGGGTGACACCATTTTGTACCTGTCCCCCAGACACATGTGTTCCTGCATTGTCAACCTATCACATGGGCTTCTAATGGAGGCTACAAGTGGTCTTTTCTACACAGTTAAGCAGTCCCTCCCCAGGTGGTTGCCTTTTGATCCATCTCTTCTTCCATCAGCAGCCTCAGGATTCACACCGCCACAACTCCGGTCACATAGGATTTTTACCATCTTCGACGAGGCTTGCCGGCTCCCATCCAGGTGCCCTGGTTCCATGGTCTGCCTTCTCCTCCCATTGCCTATCCTATGGACCATTCCACCCAGTGACTTTTCTCCATTATTTTCTGTGTTCTAAGTCAGTTCCCATTTTTACTTCCACTACACCCCACATCACCATCCCATTCTATGTCGTGTGAGCACTGAAATTTTGTTCATTTTCTACACAGTTCACTGTCACCATAGAAAAATCTGTAATTAGAAATGCCATGTGCCCAATGCTGGAGTGCATGTAAACATGGAAATGGCTATGAAGAGATTGCAGGATGTCAGCACTGGGATGAGACACAGGATGTCCTGAGTGGAGATATTCCCCATTCAGACCTCAATTAGAATGCAGTCCACAGTCTTTAAAAAGCTACTGGGCATTGTACTGCATCCTATACAGATCTGCGATTACAGTGCTTGGCACCAACTTCTTTTGCACCTCTGACTTGTCTCATGATTGAATGATGAGAGCCACAAGGGAAGGTGCTAGAAGGCCACATTTATAGAT